CGCAGTGATGACAACGAGAAGACACTGCTCTCCCGCCTGGATGCCTACCACCGGCAGACTGTCCCTCTGGTGCAGTACTACAGCGCCAGGGGTCTGCACACGGCCGTCGATGCCTCTCGGAGCCCAGATGTCGTCTTCGCCTCCATCGTAGCTGCTTTCACCGCTGCCACAGAAATCCCCGCCCGAGCCACCGCCTGTAAAGACCAAGTGTTCTTCATTTAATTTTTTTCTTCCTTCCCTTATGGGTTGTTGTCCCTTGCAGTGGTGGAGGTTACACAAGAGTTGATCAAGTGTCCCAGTGGCAACAACGTGTAACTTTGTGAATATGGAGACTCGGGAATTCAAGAAATTCAGTGTTCGAGCAGCGTGATCCCTGTTGTAGAAACAGAAAGGATTTAAAGTTGTATTTTTGTTGCTCTTCATCACACAGTCAACAAGGCTCCAAAGAACTGATCAGTACCAACAAAACAAACACTGGCGCCGAGCACCACGCTGCTGCTTCTGCCTTTCTGTAGAGAAATGAAATTTAGGGTTCTGACATTTAGCAGAGCAACAGTGGCCAAGAGATGCTTTTCACCACAAGGTGTCTGAAGATACTGATGCTCGTTGCATATTGTTTGCCTTCATGGCCCAGGTTTGCCCTCGTGTAATCGATGATGGTTCTCTTTCTTGGTCTCTGATTCTCATGCACCTACTGTAGATCTCCTGTTTTTCTTCCTCCTTCACTTTCCTAAAGTGGAAACACATTGGGAGCATCAGACACGCCTTGTCCAACGTGCCAGTGATTTTCAGTCGCCTTTGTCATCCTCACATGGGTTTAAATTTGTAGCTCTGAGAGAACGCCAGAGCTATTGGTTTTTCATGAGGTGTCATAAAAATGATCCGTGGTATTATTGCTGAAAGTTTAGGAAACAAAGATGTGTAATGACTTTATAATTTTGGGCTTTTGCCTTTATCTGACAGTACATTGTGAAGATGCAGAGGAGGAAACATGGGGAGAGAGAGAGGAGGTGCTCTCACAGTTTTAATCGTGGTTTAAATCCGAGATCTTTAAACTGTGATACGTCTCCCCGTGGGGGTGTGGAGACGGAGACTGGGTATGTTTTTAAAATGACAGGAAGTTAGTTGTGGTAGTTTGGATGTCGTATTTAAGGTACTTTAAAACCACTAGTACTGGATTACTGTAACTTGTTTTTGTACTCTGAGTTGAAGTCAGTCAATGAATTCTGAACACACTTGGAATCCATATTTTTAGATTCAGTATTTCCAAAGACATCATTATTTTTGATGCCCAGTATGATTAAAGTTCCATAAATCCTGGTGGGAGTCATAGAAAAACGGGCACTGTGTGTGACTCCAGACCTTGGCTAAGAGTTGGGATGTTTTTATGTTTTCTTGAGTAAGAAAGTAATCCAGTGATGGTTGCCAGTACATCTGTGGGTACACTACAAACAACTGCTAATGGTATAATTTGGTATGATTTTAATGGTGTAATTTGTTAAAATATAACTGAGTCTCGCACAGTGTCAGACTTTGAGAAGGTCTGTATAAGTCAGCCAGTAGAGGAGACCAGCTTTGTGCTGCTCATTCAAAACTTAGTTTTCCTTCAGAGCAGCATGTTTCGGTGCTGCTGGTGCTTCAGTGTCAGACCTCTGGCTCACCACAGAAGTGATTAATCATTGTGCGTCACTCCTCATTTCAGCTAGGCTCAACACCATCACTGGTTCTGTAGGGTTTACAGAGGTTTGGTTGCAACATGCCGCTGTAATATTTCTGCAGACAGTGCGTGTGATGTCCTGTCTTTTGTGGAATTGAATAAGACCAAACAGTTTCTAAAAAACTGGATTCCACTGATCAGTTTACGTGTCAGAATGTGTCGGCAGGAGTGCAGGTTATTAAATCACACCAAATGGATATGAAAACAGGTACGGACACCTCCTCTGGTTCAGACTGTAGTGTGAGCTGGTTTTAGTTTGCTGAATATGAGAGAAACCAAACTGTGGAGGAATGGGAAGAGATGAAGACTGGACTTTAAAGCAGCTCCAGCGGCGGTGGTTGTCAGTAAACTAGCTGGTGAGCACAGTGGAACATTTAGTGGCTAAACAGCCAGGAATTTCCCTTGGGAGCTGGTAGAGAGCAAATGCAGACCTAAAAGATGAATATTGAACTTGGCATTTACCAGGTGGCCTGAAACACAACTCTAAATGAATGATGAGGTTGCTGCGTAACAGCTGGGTGTGTAAATAAACATCTGTCACCTTATCAGTTTAAAGGTTGATGATATCAGTGCTGTGTCCAGTTTGATTCTACTGTCTCCACATGGCCAAAAAGTCAGTTATTGTGGGTTTAAATTGCTGAGCAGTGGTGTCTTAACACACTAGGCTGACAATAATTTAGACATAGAAACAAGTCTCCCATACTTGGTGTGAAGTGTATTTATTTGGAAATTGAGGGTTATTTATCCTCAGCATCAAATCAGACAAATGACATTTAAATGTACTGTATATCCATTGAGTAAACTGGATCAAAAAGACGCTAGTCAGAAAAAAAACAATTCTGTGATATGTTTTGAGTTCAGGCTTTTGTTTCTGCTGCTCCCAAATGTCAGTTTCACCTCCTTTCTGTACCGGTGGCAGGCACTTATAGCAGCTGCTCGCTATGTGTTTTTGTTCCAGACAGTTTGTTTGATGTTTTCCAACACAATGGGAGTTGGATCCTTAATTATCAGCTGAGTTATTGACATTGGATCTTCCTGGGATGTCAGGTTTGGGGACTCACCCTTGGCTGGTCTGCTCCTCCTTGACCCTGCTCTGTACTCGCCTGGTGTTTGTGTTCACTGGAAACACCCTGCATGCAGACTGACTGTGCTACCCGCACCTTCCCTTGAATACTGATGTGTTTCTTTTCTCTCGGGGATGTTGTGATGAAAAACAATAGCAGATGACTGTACATTCCTGAAGGCAGATTTTAGTCATTTATTCAGCACCACGAGACTGTCATGCTAAAGTTCCCCCAGTATTCCAGACTGTCCTCAGCTTCTTGTTGTCACTTTGTTCAAGCTGTGAATGTATAAATGTGTATATAGAGGTTAAACCTGACAGAAAATATTGCTGTTTGTTTTGTTTGACCTAAAGGAATGTGACTTTTAAATGTGCAGTTTAAAGTAAAGGCTGACAACCTAATTACATGAGTAATTTTTTTTGTCGGTCACTCTTGACAGTTCTGCCATTTAAATGACCAAAATAGTATGAATAAAAGTATGAATCAGGGCTCTTTTTTTTTTTTTTTTTTTTTTCCCCATTAATTCACCCCAAACTTTTCTCCCCCTCTCTCTCTTCCTTGTCTTCCAGCTGGTTGAACCCCGAGCTGCTCCATTCCCACCCAGGCGAAGGATTGGAGCTGGCAAGAGAGCTGTGGTGGGTGCACACATGGACGGGTGGGGGCAGGGGTCAGACAGCAGGGAGACTCCTTACACTTCATAAGTTAAGGTTAACTTTGCAGTGTCGCTAGGTTCTTGTTCTCAGCATATTTCTACTCCCAGTAGATTGTTACAAGAGCAGAGCCATCCTATTGTCATATTCCTCACATTTCCCCTCTAATAAACGTCTTGCTTTTCTACAGTTGTCACATTTTGTTTTGTTTTCTACCTGATTCTTCTCTAAAATCCACAAGTTTATATTGGTAGTTGTAGATAAATATTAGAGAGTTCACCTTCTGTTAGCTAGTTGCATGACAGTGTCTCAGTGCACAATACAGTAGATGATACTAAAGTGATAGTTTGGAGCTCAGAGGAAGGAAGAGCAAAGAGGAATTACTAACACTTCACGTGGGATTTTTGTTTTTGTCCAAAGAGGACACAAGGACGGATAACATGGTAAAGAAGGTTCACTTCTGTCGCCTTTCAATAGTGTTCTTTACATACACAAGACTGGATTAATTTAAACATTTCACATGCCGCATTTTCCGTTAAACTGTTGTTTACCTCTAACTGTCACAGAAAACCTGGAGGTCGGCTGGTTGGTCTCCAACTTGTAGTGAAGCTGCTGAGTGGTGTGTGTACACACTGCATGGACAGTTTCAGACACAGCAGCCCCAAAACAAACCAGTTATGTGGCTGAGTTTGTAGGGCACACAGAGGCATCAAGACGCGCGTCAGAGAAGCTCAGGGCAATGTAAAAACACAAATGGCATTTAAAAAGAAGGTAAAAATGAAAGGTTTGCTAATTTGATTTTTTTTTTTAATGTATACATACACTAAATTCAGTTCTGCCCAAAACAGTTCAGATGGAAAATAAAACTAAGAATTGATGTTTTTGTTGTATTTTTAAAAAAAAGCAAAAGTACCCGGTGTTTTTATTTTTACAAGTGTATCAAGAAGCCTTAATAAAATTGTTGAAATGATTTTGTTATCGAATGCACACAAGCAAATGCTAAGCTGAACATTTTTAGATGCATCAAAGTGCTGGAAATGATCACAACAGAGAAAAATGTGTCTCACAGCTCGTTCCTGTCAGTTTGTTGTTCTCAAAGTCGAGGTTTAACAAATTAGCTGTATTTGTGAATGAAAAATAGATGCACCTGATACTGTCCAGCTACACAGTGACTGCTACCGTTTTCTCACTGAAATCCAAATACATTTATGGTCTTTATGTTTGGAGGGAGACGCATAACGTTGGGCCAATGAAATTTAGTAAAAAAACAAACTGCAGAATAAATATAACTGATTCACGCCTCTAAGATTGGCTCATTTTGGCCTCAGAGTGGAAAACAAACAAGGCAGATATGCTTCTGTGACCTGATCTGGGTTCTGGGCGTCTGCACTGTGTGATCCTTCTCACATGGAGGGAAAAATCCTCCTCCTGCTGCTGTTGCATCAAAACTGACAGTGTGTCTTAGTCCGACTGACAACATTAGCTTTAATCCAGAGTCCAGGTCTTTGGACAGTTACATGAAAAATAAAATGATGGATCCAACATCATAGTGCCAGGTCTCATTTGAGTAGGTTTACATTAAATAAAACTGTGTGTCAGATGTTGCGTTTCCTGTGTTTAGCACTTGCAGTGACAACGAGGGCTTGGGTCCAGGCCTGGACCCCTCTTCTGTGGGGCCTTGGTAAGATATGCACCACTCCTTTTTTGTCTGTTTCCTGCACACTTTACAGTAAGTTAGCGCAGCGTACGGAGGGGAGGGGACGCAACTGGGCGAGGTTTCTGTATAGTCTACGGCGTGACGTCACCGCCAGGGGCTTTCCTCCATTACGTCAGAAACGGTGGGGCGATAACCAGAGAGAGAGAGAGAGAGCGCGCGGAGCGAGCTTTGGCGAGCACTCAGAGTTTAAACGCTGCGCTCCTGGGCGCAGGAAAACCAGTATCCGCTGTCACCTGCCAGGAGTCCAGACCCCGAGTGGAGAGAGGCGCGTACCCTGACGGAGGACTGTTCAGACCCACTGCTTCGAGGTCAGAGCGAGGCACCGCCGTGAGGCCGTCACCGTAGGAGCCGAGGTGGCCGATGCAACGCACCCCAGCCTTTCCTGTCCAAGAAGTCCGGTCCTGAGCGGGGTAAGTGCCCGGTGGTGAAACCCTCCGCCGTACAGCCTGTTTGTCAGGGATGTCATAGTGTTGTAGGCTCTTGTCCGCGTTTGAATTACCTGGATATAAAGAAACACGATCGTCTAAGGGGGCTGTTGGTCACCACAACCCCTATAATAACAGCCTGTTATTCACAGGCAGGAAGGAAGGTGAGCCAGACATCTCAAACATATAGGCTAGGAGGCAGTTACAGGGAGGATAGAGATCATATCTGAAAATAATCCGATAATAAGCGGAATGTGCCAGCAGTGATTCCAGGATGTCCGAGAGTTAAAACCCTGCCATGGGTTTCCCCTTTAAACACATTCCTGTCTGTTGCCACTCCCCGCTCACTGTTTGGCCAGAGGGCACGGTGGGTTCTCCTGGAAAACACCTTGTAATGTGAAAGACGACTGGTAGCAGAGCTCTGGAGGTAAAATGTACCGAAGAGGAGTCGTTATAAAGGCACCGAGCCCCGCTAGGAATAGTATATGACTATTTCCATTTACCTTTGGTTGATGCCACATTTATAAAAGGGTGGAAAAGCTGTGGTGACGATTTCCAGCAGCTGAATGTTTTCGCAACGGCATTCACAATGAAGGTGTTGTGTAGATATTGGGACTGTAAAGTACTTGTAATATTTGTAACATCCTGGGTGAAAACTACTATTTAAACTAACAACTGGTGTGTTTGCAGGTTAATGAGTACCTGTTAAGGTGTTTTAATGTGTTGTCTGACATCTTGGTGTTATCAGCTGTGATGATTGTGGTGGCTGATAAGACCATAATGGGCCATTCTTTGTGCAGGTGTAGCCACTCAGAATTTCTGAGGAAAAACAATGTTTAAAGTATTAGTGAAAAGCTCTTCAATGACCATGTAGGACTGAGTGAATGACGTGGGAAGGTCTGAAGATTTTACTTAACAGATGTGTAACTTTTCCTCCTCGGGGTCATTTCTAAGGCAGAACAGGAAATGGTGTCAACTTTTGTTTTAACTTGGACCAAATAGATGGGAGTGGGCATAATGAGCCTTTTATCTATTATGTGTAGCAAACCCTACACATATGGTCTTCCTTATGAGTTAATTGTTATATTTTAATCAAAAACAGACCCCCACCAGATTACATGAGGTGAGGTGGAGCAGTCTGAGTTTTGTGCTCTGTCTGTGTTGGAGCAGGAGCTGGTTGGATGTGTTTGACCATTACCTCATTCAGAAGAGATCTGGATTCTTGTGTCATTACGTGGCTCAGGTTACAGACAATAGCCTCTGTTGTCACATGCATTGTGCCTGCTGCTGTTTCCTCTCTGAAACCTGAATGTGCTCATCCAGTTTGCTGCTGCTGCTGCTCACCTCGTCTGTCTCTGTTCCCACCTGAGTTTGTGTGTGTTTGTGTGTTAACAGGTGGTGTAAAGGGGTCTCAGAGGTTTGCTCTTTGCAACTGTAGCGCCTGCAGACCTGACATTAAACATTCAACAACTCAGCAGTATGGCTCTTGAACACCCCTCTAATTATAGACACTCTCAGCCTGATTCTCTCTACCTCCACCTCCCAGCGCATCGCTCTGCACTACTGGCTACGCACTGTCAGTGTCTGTCTGGGCATGTGTGGGAGAGAGGTGTTGATGAGAGTCATTGGGAGACAGAGAGAACTCTCCATTTATCTACCCATCTGCCTTCCACTGCATTTATCCCTTAAGAATACAGCATAACGTTTAAAGGTGCATGAACTAAGATTTTCCACATTGTCTGATGAACCCAGTGACAATGGGACAGGACGTGATGTCTCTTAGCAACACTTCCCTGAATACTGTGAAGTATTGACAGGCAACAAGAAGTACTTTATGTTCTGTGTGACAGTTTGACTTAACGTGGTAGTCTCTCGGAAGTGCTGATTTTCTCATCGATAGAAGCCACTAGTGAAAGTAAAACATTCATTTCTTAAATGTCTGTGGGCTCATGACAGCCCACTCTGACTTTCAGATTATGAGAGACAGCAATGTGTGAAGATCTTATCATCATCATCATCATCATGTTTTTTTGATGACAGGCGTATGTTTTCCAACAGGTGTGGTTGATGTGACTTTTCTTTCTTTTCATAATGAGACAAACGAGGATCATTTATTGATTGACTTGTGCCATTTTGACCCAGTTTATTTTAAGAAAGGAGGCTTTAAAGTTATTCAACGTCCTGCACCATCTTGACAAAACATGATTCAAATTCTTATTCAGCAAAGACACTGATGAAAAACTTCTTATGCTAAAACTAAATATCATTAAATATTACCAAAGTGTCTATATGGAAGAGCTTAATTTAACATCAGACTGTTTTTACACTTATAGCTTTGTATGGATAAAACACACACAATGAAATGCACTCTTCAGCTTTAGATGTTCTCGCAGGTGGATTTGGTTGCTTTTGAAAAGGGCTGGTTCGCTCTGTTTGCCTCTGTTTCCAGTCTTTATGCTAAGCTAAGCTGCTAGCTGCATTGGCTAACACAAAAACATCAGTGTGGTATTCATTTCAGTTCAATTCAGTTTCAATTCAGGGCTGGTAAAAAGTGGTGGAGCTTGGAAGAACTGGATGAGGCAGCATCATTTTCCAAAATAAAAGCTTGGGACAGGAAGTGCATGTCATGTTCTTTGGCATTACGCCTTTTTGTTTCTGTTTTATAAGAATAACAAAGGAAGAGAAGGGGCAGGTGTTAAAAAAGTTTCCTGGTTGGACAAACACCTGGGATGTTTCATTTTTTTAAAAACATTTCAGATGTGAAGGTTTGAATTTGTTCACATCTGTGGAATTATTGAAAGAGGTTGTGGCCTTCTGGATCGTTATTTTAAAAAAAGATCCCTGATTTGTGTGGTGTTGTGATTAGAGCACTTGTGTGGAAGGAGGCTGGAGAGAAATAGTAATGATAATAAAAACGCCAGAACACCCTGGATCAACCTTGAAGCGTGAGGTTGGTTCTTTCAGCTCTAATGTGTCATTATGACCCAGTTAATCAGTTGTAATATCTCATATATGTGACTCAGCCAGTCCGTCTGCTCACTGAAGGAGCCTTTCTTCCATCAGAACTCAATGTTTTCACAAAGATGCAGAAATCCTCAAGTCATGATGTTTTATTTGACCTCACATTTAGCCACTAATAATATGGATGTGCAGTCTGTGCCGGTGATCTACTAGTCCCATTAAAACTGGAACTGCCTCGGGGCTGGGACGATGCCTAACAATATATTTTAGTGCCTCTGGGAAAGTGCTTCTGAAACATAAAATCCCCATAATAACAGGTCAGTAGGTTTCCCTCCAAGATCCTCACCCACTCCGAATAGAAATGCCTTTTTCAAGATATAGCTAAATGCTATGCTAGTGTCCTCTTAGTGGCTTTGATGCTTAGCATATCAGTCATGTCTAAGCTGTAATTTACTTGTAATATGGTGTTTTTTTACACCATGGTAACAAACATCTGCCCTAAGAAAACAGCTTGGCAAATGGAAATAATCACGTTATTTTTTTGCATATCAAGCACAGTGTGTGCCTTGTTTTGCTCAGTCTTTATTAGTTGATTGACTCCCATTAGTTCTCCTGCTCCAAACACCACCCCCACACATACACATAATGCATCATTAGCTGCTGGTTGAGTAGGGGACCACCTGTTCTGGCCGGAGGCTGTCAGCCGCAGCTCTCAGATTAGCGGGGTTTTAGTCCCGGTCACCACAAACAGGCTAACAAACAGATCACCGTGTCTGCTGGAGCTCAGCTCTCTGTGGATCTGTTCATGTTTAAACAATGTCGCCGGTCAGTTTAGAGAGCAGGCTTTTAGCTGATGCGTTTATCCAGAGTGATAAGATGCTTCTGAACGCTGAGAGCAACAACAGGATAATCAGTTTTGTCTGCTTAGTGAGACATTAGAAGGAATAATGTTCCTGGGTTTTGATTTGTGTGGCTTTGTTTTGTTGCAGTATGTATGGCAGTTTGGTTGTGTATATAGTATTTTGCAACAAATACAGGTTGATAAACTGGTTTGTTGGGGCATGTATTTTCTGTTCTTGGTTGGACATGATGCAGCCATGTTAAAGCTGTTCTTATACATTATTAGCGCCTGTTCTATATGCTCTGTTTACCCTATATGTGGGTGAAGCTGCACACTGGTTAAAATGATGATTTTATCCAGACTGAGTGACACAGCAGCTTCATTAACACCCGAGCATGCAGCAGCAGAAACAGCAGAGTTCAGAGCAGCCTGACGATTTTCCTGGGAATCTGCAAAGGCAATAAACATACAAAGTTCTTAGGAAAGAGCTTCGGGACATTTAATAAATAATGGGTCTGGCTGAAATACAGAAAGGGGAAAAACATATTTCGCCACCATGGTAGGATTCTTCTGCAGTGTTACTGACTGTGGTGGAAAGTAATAAAGTAATTAGTACCGTACGGACCTTCTGCTACTTTACTTGAATATTTCTAAATTAAGCACTTTACTCATATGGTTCACAACATTTCAATAAAGAAATGTAGTTTAATTAGTTATGATACTTTTATTTAAGAGCTATAGGTGCTTCTGTCCATCCATTATCTATACCGCTTATTCCTGAATGGGGTCGCGGGGGCTGGAGCCAATCCCAGCCGACACTGGGCAAAGCTGTAGTTACTTTCCAGATGTTATATTAAAATCATGCGACCCTGTACATTTTTTATATTAAACTAACAGCCTAAAACATCTATAGTTAACTGCATCATTTTCATTTACATCATTAAAATGCTTCTTACGTGTTAATACAGTTAGTAGCTGTTCGGGAGCTTTTGATCTCATGATCTTCCTCATAAGCTTGTGTTTCTATTGTTCTCTCAACAAAAATAAATGCATACATTTTTCTGATTACTAATTATGTCATTTTATGTAAGTGGATTTTTTTAACCAAGGCCCTTTATTTGAAATTGAGTATTATATACTTTTTCACCTGGGTATAAATACCTGACATGACATCAAGAACCCA